AAAAACTTCAATACCACTGAGTTCATTTTGAGTTGGCCACCTACTGCTGGGCATGGTGCCTGCCCTTGAGTGTAGTTTGTATATCCAGTGAGACTCCACTGGAGAAAAATAATTTCTCATTTGCAAGCTACTGTCAGTTGGAGATAGCTTCTTAGTTAGTGCTGGTAGATCCTGTTCACTTGCCCCTCTCAATGCAGGGACCTCATCTGGCTGGAGCCTATGTAGACCCTGTGTGTTCTACAACGTTCTCTGTGTGTTCATATGTCCACTGGTCCTCTCCCATCACCACTGGTCCTTACAATCTTTATAACTCATCTTCTGCAAAAACCGTACATTTGATCTGTAGCACTACCAACAAAGAAGGAAGCCAATTTTATAAAAATTGTTCACTTTTTGGACCTATTGATGAATTTGAAATATAAGTAGGAAAGTACTGAAGAGATAGAAAATACATACAAAATTAAATAAAAGGTTAATAGAATTATCATAAAATACTTTAGTGGTAGTTGTGCTAATGGTAATAATATAAAAAGTTAAAGTATATTGAACATTTAGTACTGATTTACAATGGCTAGTGATAGGCAAAAGATAGATAGGTAGGTAGGTAGATAGATAATGATAGATAGATAGATAGATAGATAGATAGATAGATAGATAGATAGATAGATATTTTAATTAAGTGCTCATAATAACCATGAGATCATATTCTAAGGACACTTTTTTTTAATAGATAAAGAAACTGAGACATGAAGGGCTTTGATAACTTGCTCCAAACCACAAAAATTATGTAGCCTGGGTACAGTCGGTCACTTCACATATTAATAGAGACTGGGTGCTATAACAAATAAATGATCAAAAGTCCTAAGTAAATAATTCTCAAGAAGAATAATTTCCAGTACTGCAGTGAAAAGGACAACTATTAGGTAAAGGTACCAAATATCAACTTGGGGAGGAAAGGGTTTATTTGGCTTACACTTCCACTTTGTAGTCCTTCATCAAAGGAAGTCAGGACAGGATCTCAAACAGGTCCAGAACCTGGAGGCAGGTTCCATGGAAGAACACTTCCTGGCTCTCTCAGTCACCAAGCATGGCACCACACACAATGGGTTGGGCTCTCCCATCGTCATTAATCAAGAAAATGCCCTACAGACTGGCATACAGTCTGATATTGTAGAGGCATTTTCTTAATTGAGATTTCCTCCCCTCAGGTAATTTTAACTTATATCCGTTGATGTAAAACTATCCAGCACAGAGGTGGAGACAAAAGGGGCCAAATATCTACCAACTAGAAGGTTCTTGAAATCATATTTTAGGGTAAACTCCTCATGAATTATGCTGCACCACTGTGAACTTCTCTGGATTGAGATCTAGACTAAAGCAGCCTCCTTTGGGCTCTCATTCCTCTCGATACATCTGGTCTCATACCTTGAAATCTTACTTCTTTGAGGGGAGAAGAGACAAATTAGAGCATAGAAAGGGAAAAAAATAAAGAAAAGAAGAAAAAACAGTATTTGTCCCTATGTCTTAGGATAAATTGCACAAGATACCAGCCATTGGTCTTCCTAAAAAGGAAATTAGGAAGTACATTGTAGAGATGCTACAGCCTTGACACAGCTCACTATGGGAAAATTTGAGAGCAATTAAAATAGAATAGCTATCTTTGAGTACCAATACCAGAGGATGAATGTCCTGGTGGTCTTAGGTCTACCTTATCACTAACTCAGTGACCTGTTAGTAAGGTCACAGCTACATCTTCCTTAAGCAAGAGCTAATCTTGTTACAACCCATGCAAGCTTGGCATTGAATTCAGGACAAGTAAGTTCACCTTCAGAGAAGGTGTGAAAATTCAGAGACTTCATTGGAATTCTCAGTGAGGCTCAAGGTGTGGCAGGTAAAGCATGTCCTGAAGTCCTTTCTCCTTAGGCCCTAGGATCCCTTTCTTTGGTGCAACTGCTTTTCTAGAATCCATTTTTTTGTTTTTGTTTTTTAGGGTTTGTTTTATTTTTTGTTTTGTTTTGTGTTGCCCACCTATCTCTCAAAAGCACAAGTGCCCTGCTGTCTTCCCACTTTATAGATCACAAGTCCTGTGTCATTTCTGAGGTAAAAGACATTTGTCCAGTTCAATATAACATGACCCTGGAACAGAAGCAGGAAGTGCAGAAAATATCTTAGAATACAAGATTTGGAGTATAGGTATAAATATTATTTTTACTCTGGTATATAAACATATAGAAACTTTAATATCATCTGATGGGGGAAAAATGCCAAAGAAAACAACAAGGTATATTTCCTCCATTATATTAACAGTGAATAGGGTTTTAGGCAAATGGTGTTTAACAAGTAAGAATATAATGATATTTCTGTATATTCAAAGTGCTATTGAGTATTTGGAAAAACTTTTACAAAAAAAAAAAAAAACAGTAAAGAGACCTGTATAAGTTAATGAAGTAATGTTTGAAAATACATAATTTTCTTAACAGTTTAAAAGCAAAAGCTTGAAGCAACTTAAATACATAAGTCACTGAGCACAATATATGGGATAGGTTGTGTTTGCTGCCTCTATGTTAATTTGCACTTCAGCTCACTGTGTGAAGACTTTAGATGTGTGGAGAATGTATGCAATGAAAATGTGCCAAAACATTTTTGAGTGATATTTTTCTTTTATATTGCTTTATAAATTTTCTTTTGTAGTAATATTATTTTTATAATAAAAAGTTTAAAGAAATTTTCAGTGAGTGAAAATAATAAAATGAGATTGTAGGAGTGATACCAAGGTGTTTTATATTAGAAAAGCAATAACTGACTCCTAGATTAAAATCAGAATGAACCATACTAGCAAAAGCAGCTGTGTGGCCATATGTGCCAGTAACATTTCTGTGGCTTTGTTTCTCTTTCAGGCTCAAGCCATAGTCTCATACTTGGTAAGTCCTTTGATAGGTTTGTTTAAACAGTAAGTATCTACTTATAATAAGTGCTATGTAAAAAAAAATCAAAATACCTTTTAAGTTCAATAAAAATGTGTATTTATGGCAGCAATTCTCAACCTGTGGGTCATGACCCCATTTCACAGGGGTCACTTAAGAGCATCAAAAAACACAGACGTTTACATCATGATTCATAACAGTAGTATAATTACATTTAAATGAAGTGGCAATGAAAATAATTTCATGGTTATTTAATACATGAGGAACTGTATTAAAGTGTCACAGCATTAGGAAAGGTGAGAAACACCAGTTTAGGGTGTCATGACATTGACATCCTCGTGCACATTGAGGGACCTCATCTTTGAATCATTTGAGTGAGTAAACATTCTTCACTGCCAACAATTCTTTATTTTAACATTGCAGGAGAGACAACTCCCTCTCTACTCTGTACCAGAAATACGTTTCTGGGTAGTCGTCCTGATAATTTGTATTGTTAAAGTCATAAAACCATTATCTGTGTGATCTTGTGTCTGGAGATAGAAGGATATTGTCTTCACCTTTATTTCTGTTGCTATGCCAAAATCCTATGACAGAAACAACTTAGAGGAGAAAGGAGCTTTCATTTTTAGCTAATAATTCTAGGATATCATCCATTATTACGGGGAAGTCTTGGTGGCAGGAACTTGAAGCAGCTGCTCACATCCACAGTCAAGAACTTTTCTCCCTCCTCATAGAGCTCATGTTCCCTTGCCTGAGAATGATGCTGCAGTACTGCCTTAATACATGTAACTTTCATTCTGCCCATAGACCAGCCCGAGCTGGATAATTCCTCACTGAGACAGTCTTCTCAAGTGAATCTAAACTGTATCAGGTTGACCGTTTACCCAGCACAAATGGATTCATACAAAGTTTGATACCAAGGGGATTTCTAACACATAGATGTCCTGTCTCATGCCTTCCATTAAAGACCTGAGTAAGCTGTGTATGCTGAGCCAAGTAGCATGATTGGGAAGAAGCTTATAGGATGCTCTGGTCACCCATAACTATAGTACTGTGGCTATAGGTCTGATGTTCTAGAGTAAAACCAGGGTAGAGTAGAACCTGGAGTAAAGGCTCATGTAAAAAGTCATTAGTAACCAACAGTGGGATTAGCTGTTAAGACCGTTTAGAATTCCTATACTGTGTTTTTCATTTAATTATTTTGTTTCCTTGTTCAGGCATTTGCATTGGGATAGTCATCTTTATTTCACTCATCCTTGTTTTCTGTTGCCTCATTCGAAAATATAACAAAGGGTGAGTATAGTCACATTCTCCAAAAAAATTTCAGAGGATGCTGTGGTCTGCACCTGTGCCCTAACATTTTGGTGACTTAGATAGAATAGCCACGAGTTTGAGGCCTGAGTCACAGAATAAACCTTTGGCTCAATCAAAGCAAAACAAAGATAGCATGGGAAGGTGGCTTAGCTGTAAAAGCACTTGCATGGCAAGTGTGACGACTTCAGTTAGGATCCCAGCACCCATGTAAATGCCAGCTGGACATGGTGGCCCTTCCATAATTCCAGTGCTCAGAAGGTAGAGACAATGAATCTTCTAGGACAAGTTGATAGACAGACTTGCCATGTAAGCTTGCTCCTGGTTTTACTGGCCTTGTCTTGGTGGAATAATGCAGAAAGCAATAGAGAAAGACTCCTGACACTTATGTCATATACATATATCCTCACACATGCAAATATGTAAATGCAGATAGAAAGAATATGAAGGATAAAAACTGAATCTGTAAATTCTATGTTCCTTGTCTTAGAAAGCAAAGCAAATTAAAAGAACACAATAGAATATACCTTCATAAAGACAGATGTGGTAATTATCAGGAGGGTGGCCTTGGTTACACAAAATATTATATTTACACCAAAAGAAATATATATGATAACAGTCACTGTATATTTGTGTGTATATGTGCGTGTGTGTGTGCGCACGCTTGCCTGTGTACATGTACTCACACCACAACAGCAACATGGTAGTCAGAGGATAACTTGTGGAAGTCAAGACCCAAGATCAAACTCAGATCACCATGCTTGGCCACAAGCACCTTTACTCACTGAGCCATAATGCCAGCCCACTAGTACTTAAAAAAAAAAAAAAAAAAAAAAAAAAAAAAAAAACTTTTTAAGAAGAAATTGAAGAAAAAAAAAACAGCCAAAAGATGTTTCTGAAAGGTATGAAGCTGCTGGCATACTGTGGCTGCGATGCAGCACATGCTGACCTGTAATCATAATCACAGCCCCAGAAGCTGAACAGGGTGTTCTGTGGCACACACATCATAGCCTACCAATTTTACCAATGTAAAAGCATTGAAAGCTGCCCCTGACACACAGGTGTGCTTGAAATATCTACCAAATGAATAAACATGTCAGCCATTACTAAGAGTGTTGCAAAAGAAAGCATGTTGGCCATAACTCCTTACCAAATCAGAATACATTTTTAACTAGTCCTAAACCAAGTTCACAGTTCATGTTTATTCTAGTGAATGAACCATCTCAGTCTATATGGGTAACTATAGCAAAATACAAAATTGGGAAGCTTAGACAATAAACATTGATTTTTCACAGTTCTGGAGGCTGGAGAGCCTACTTGCTACTTAGTGAGAGTCAACTTTCCAATTAATAAATTGCAGTCAGCCCTCTTACCTGTCTCCCATAGTAGGAAAACTGTAGGAAAACTGGGCGCTCACAAAGGCACCAATCTCCAGCACAGTGTTCTCTCTTCCTTCTCTTGTATTTTGTTGGTGATGCTTGTGTCTGTAGATCCTGTTCACTTATCCATATTTTTCATTTCCAAAATTCCTCCAGTTTGTGGCTTCTTAATTGTTTCTATTTTCAGGCCTTGAACAGTTTTATTCATTTCTTTCAACTGATTTTTCTTGGCTTTCTTTAATGGATTTATTCATTTTCAATTTTTTGTTTGTGCTTTCCTAGATTTCTTTAAGGGATATTTTCATTTCTTCCTTAGTACTGTTTAGACTTCTCCATTCAGAGCTGTTGGCTTTGTTCTCTTGTTGTTTCTAACCATGCCCAGTCTATACCAAGCAGCCCTCCTGTCTAATCAGAGAAAATATTGACACCTTCCTTGGTATAATATTTGAAGTAACAAAACTCTTAGAGCCATTATCTAAAAAAGCACTTTCCTGTGTTTGTGTTACTACTAATAACCACCCAGAAGGTTCTTTCAGCAGGTCTAGCTCCCCCCACATGCCCACTCTTCACGTATGCACACTTTCCAACATGACTTGTCTCACTACTACATCACCACTCTCCACTCTTCTTTATCTTCAGTCTCACTGGCCTTCCATGTGCTAGAGAAACTGGCCTGTGATCATGGTCCCTCTGTGTCTTACGTGCTTCTCTCAGTCTAAGAGGGTAAAGAGGAGTTGAGTGGTGAGGAGTAGTGGTAAGTGAGCTAACTGCGTTTTTCATTCTTAATTCTAGTACTAATTCACAAATAATTTGTCATTTATGTTATATAAAGTACTTGCTAAGTAGCCCCAGAAGACATGATGTAGAATTTCTGGTGAGAGCATGTGGCTATAGTCAGACCTTAGTGCATTGTCAAGTTACCAGCTATGAATCCCTGAGCAAAACGCTGACCATCAAACTTCATCTTCCTTGCCTGTGAGATAGTAGCCCCTAGCTTACTGAACACAGTACTATGATGAATCATGAATGGCTTATAATGAATGTCAGAAAATGTTAGCTATTATTTATATAGTTACTAATCTTAAAAGTAATTAGTTTCTTTTTCTGTACATTACTACATCTAGTCATTCCTCACAATCTGAAGGCCCTTGGTTCTAGAATTCTCATAGATACCAAAATCTTTGGTTGTTCAAATGCCTTACATAAAAAGAGGATGGTACTTTCCTATAACCTCCTATTATGTCTTGTCTCTAGATTACTTGTGATAGTATAATATAATGAACTTCCCAACATCACTAATGGTCACAGAGCACAAGGATGCTATATCAGGTTGCAATGAAAAGCTATTATTAGTATGTGAAGTTGTCAAAATTTGTGGTAAACCTATTTACTAATCAAAATTATTCCAGAAATATTAAGATGTGTTGTTTAAGATGTGTATACACATATATAGACAAGATAAAGTCTTCTGACATAATGGGTTTAGTATTTCCTAATCCAAGTAACTTAAATCTCAAAATGAAAGTTATTAATTACTTTCAAAACTGTAATGTGGTTCATATAGTTTTCCTTTTATTCCTACCAATTAGCAACACCGCAGATGGAAAGTGTAAAGCAGTGAGTATCCATTTAAATTCTGAAGAAGACAGAAGCTGTGTTAACCCTCAAGCTCTGCTCACAAGTTAAGAGAACAACAGGTACCTGTGCCCATCCTAATTTCAAAATGTTTGCAGGAACTAAGATTCAAAAATACACTCAGTTCAAACAGGATATTACACACAGAAGTTAAAAGCTACTGCTTAAGCTCTATTGTTGCCATTTTTATGATTTTGTTCGATAACTGTCAAGGTGTATAGAATAGTGGACTTTGCTTTTTCCTGTGGAATTCAAGTGCTTGATCTCTAGGGGTACACATACTAATGTGGATCTCTTAAGGGTCCTCGGTGGTTCTCTTTACCTCTCCTGATTTCTGATTTTCACTGATTTCTGTACCTCACTTAGCTTCCTGTAACTCCTCCCCTGTAACATGAGGGCCTGCTTGTTGTGGGGTTCTGTCCTGCCCAGTTCCCACAGTCCATATGTCCCAAAGAAAATCACACAGAGGTCTCCATAAGTTATAAACTAATTGGCCCATTAGCTCAGGCTTCTTATTAACTCTTATAACTTATATAGCCCATTATTCTTATCTATGTTAGCCACATGGCTCAGTACCTTTTTCAGCGGGGCAGGTCACATCCTGCTTCTTCGGTGTCTGGACAGGATTGCAGAGGAATGGGCTTCCTCCTTCCCAGAATTCTCCTGTTCTCATTGCTCTGCTTCTACTTCCTATCTGGTTGTCCTGCCTATACTTCCTGCCTGGATACTGGACAATCAGCATTTATTTAAAACATAATTGATAGAATATAGAATTGTCCCTCACCACTCCCCCTCCTCCCGTGTTTTTTTTTTGTTTTGTTTTGTTTTTGTTTTTTGTTGTTGTTTTGGTTTGGTTTGGTTTGGTCTGGTTTGGTTTGGTTTTGGTTTTGGTTTTTTGAGGCAGTGATTCTCTGTGTAGCTTGTCCTGGCTATTCTGGAACTCACTCTGTAGACCAGGCTGGCCTCGGATTCAGAGATCTGCCCATCTCTGCCTCTCAAGTAGTGGACTTAAAGGCTTGCTCCACCCCTGCCTAGCTTCACTCTCTCTTCTTTCTGTCTTCCACTGCAGCTGTTTTCATCCCTAACTCACCAATCACCTCTTCCATGTGTCCTCACCATAAACCCTGATAGAGAAAATATTGGCCAAAGGTTTGGGGTTAAAAGGGAAGTGATACCACAGCTTAATGCAACATGATGACGTAACTGAATGTTGTGAATCACTGAACTAAAAATCAAATAATGATTTCAAGGATCCAATCACAATCTGGGCCAAATGCAGCTGGCCACTTGTGTTGCTTAAGCCATTCTCATTGCACGTCTTCACCCAGTCATGTTCTCAGTGGCTGTTTTCCAGCCCTAGTAGCAGGTGAGCTATGAATCAGACCCACTAAGCCCCAGATACTTCCAAATTTGCCCCATTTTTAAAAGCAATTTTGATTAGTAATTTCACATACCAAAACTTTTCACTGTAACCTGACATAGCATTTTTGTGCCCTGTGGTCACATGTATATCAAAGATCTAACAGTGACGACAAATGTTTTGCTGATGAGGCCCCTTAAGCCCTGAATTTCTACCCTCTACCCTTGTCTTATTCAGTAGATGTCCTACAGATTGCTCAGATCTATACTGCTTGCTCAGATACCTCATTTAATCCCTTGGGCCTCTCACAGATTCACAGCTCCATACTTCCGTATTGCACAGAGCTATTCATTTGCTCACTGATTTCCCAGGAACCTAACACATCCTGTGTATAGGTCCTTAGGACATTCTCAGAAATAATAGCACACTCTGTGCAGGTTTCCAGTCCTTATACTTGAAAGGTGGAGGCAAAAGGATGAAGAGTTCAAAGTCATTTTCAGTTATATAAGGAGTTTGATTGATGTTAGTTTGGGCTACCTGACATGCTATCTCAACAAACACACCACCAATACATACACCAAAAATAATTGCAGCTAATGCTCTGGAAATGAATTGGGCTGCTCTCCTAATAAAGAAGCAAAAACATCACATTGTTTAATAGAATTCTTATTTGTCTTTCTTCTGACAGTAATGTGTATTAATTGAAATTTGGCATTTTCTCCAATGCATATGTCTGAAATCCTTAATTCAATAATGGAGAGTAGAAGAGGAACTCAGGGGGAAATAGACCAAGGAAAAGCATTTTATAGTCAATAGAATTGTAGATACAGGCAACTCAGTTTTTTTTTAAACAAAAAAAAAAAAAAACTGTAGTTCATATTTTCTTCTGTAATAGAAGTGAATTTACAAAGCCCTCTGCTTATTATCTGGTTTCCTAGTCACTTCTTTCCTTTTGTCTTGAAGATTGTTTTTTCCATATTATATAGAGAAGAAAATGAAATACTCATTTAAAAAAAAACTTAGAATTTATGTTACCCCCTAAGTTTAATGATGATCCAGTCCAATCCACCTCAAATGACTATTTTCATCATGGCTAATCCACCAGGGAATTGGAAAGTGAGGTGACAGCGTATGCATCCAGGATTCTTAGGCGTAGTTTTCCTTTACTGTTGGAATCTATGACAGGGAAGTTGTACAGCATCAGTTCCAGGCTAACCATGTAATCACACTGAAGAAGGAAATAACAGACTGGAATCTGGGGTTGTTTTTATAGGAAATTGTTTTTAAAACATTACATAAAATGCTCAAAATATCATTGATTTAGATTTGTATATTCAAGATTACCCATCTGAAACTCTTTCCCATTTTTCTTTTTGCCCAAGTTCCAATAGCCCAGCTCGGATTTGATTCGCCCAAGAAGCCTTCTAAATAGCCACATTGCAAAATGATGTCACTTTCTGAAAAAGTATATCCTACCTGTATCACTTTTAAAATAAACTATTTGTTTTAAGAGCCAGATGTGTGGTTCATACATGTAATTCCAGCACTTGGAGAGACTGGTACAGAAGAATTGCCACAAGTTCAAGGCCACTCAGGACATTTTACCTGTCTCAAAAATAAAAATAAATAAAAATAAAAAAGTGGTATGAACTCATTTTTTAAAATGATAAATATACAGAATATTTTATATGTATTGAGCCAGATGTGATGCCTGACTCCTGTAATCACTCTGGATAACCCTGGGGCAAGAGGATCACCTTGAGTCTGAAAAGAAAAACCAAAAATCATATCATAAACGGATCAAGGTCAGTGTTGACTACAGTCTTCCAAAGCATCAAGGTAAATTATTTTTTGCAACACTTTGTAGACAAGGAGTGAGAATCTATACTAAGGGCAAGACCTGTGTGCCCGGGCCAAATGTCAAAGTGAGGGAGTGACAAGGTGGAGGCATATATCAAAGATGCGGCTGTGTGGTGAGGGAGTGTAGGTAGTGGGTGATGCTGACTAGTCTTGAGAGACAGAGAATAACGAGGAGCAATCAAGAGGGCAGTAACGAATGGAGGGCAGGTGGATCCCTCGGGTTTGTTCACTGGTTAAAGGACAACATTCAGGACAGAAAGAAAAGCCTTATCAGGGAAAAACTCAGGTGCACTGTACTGAATATGCCCCCTTGCTTATTCTTCATGGTAGTAACAGGATTCTTCACAGAGGACCAGCCACCATTTACACCTCTGCTACAAGCATACTTCTAAAGAGACGCAAGAAAATGCTTTGTGCACTGAGGGTGACCTGTGTATTTTCCAAAACAAGTTTATTAACTGGCAAAAGGAGAAGTGTGAAATGTCCTCATTAATTTCTTCTTTCCACTCCACTTCCTCCTTTATATCACACTTTCCTGTGCCCTGTACAAAAAACAAAAGTGGGTAATAAACACTTTTGATGAATCTGGATTTATATGTCACACCAGCATCCTGACTATAGCATATGAATTCTTGATAGTTCAGTTATCCATACTGCTGTCATCTAAATGAAAATATCCTATAATTTTTAATGTCCCTTGTTGACAAAATGAACAAAAAGACAACAAAAAATCAGCAAAAAAAAAAAAAAAACGTGCAAAGTTAGAGGATATCCAGGATTCCATGTTAAAAAGCCAGCTCATTTCAACGGAGTAAGATCTAAGATTCAAGCTTTTGACATTACTTCATAGAAATGCAGGAAATTTTATTTAGGGATAATGAAGCTTCAACGGCATCCAGCAAAGTTCTGCATTTAGCCTGCCTGTTTGGTGGCCACTCCCTTACCATATAGTAAGAGAACAAGACTCAGTGGACAGAAAACTGAAGATGTAGTCTAAGAGTTCTGCTTTTTAAGTCCATAGTTTTCCTTTCTTATTTTAAAATATTCATAATATGGAATAGCCTCATTAAAGAACATTAGGAAAAATACAAAAATATATGAAAATAGTAATTATTTTTGTGCAACAATGGCCGTTAATAATACATTTTTAAAACAGAACACACACTGAACAGATTGGAGAAAACCATATGTAATATCAGTTATCACCTGCTCTGTGGAAGAGAAGATACTTTTGCTTATTTAGAGATATTTTAAATGGTGATGGAAAGTGCTCAAGATGACTTAAGAGGACTGTCTAGAAAAGACTAAACACTGGGTTTCTTCTACTTTAAACGTTCTCTGTACCATGCAAATAAAAGAACAACTGCCGTAAAGTAACTTACCTTTAAATAAGTTCAGAATACATTAACCAAAAAAGTATAGCTCTTAAGAAGCATCAGTCAGCACATGCTGGGCGGAGCCTGTGGAGGTGGACTGCAAAGCAGGGCTGCTATGGGAAACCTATGCCGACACTGTAAAAACAAAAGCTAGAAGAATTGATTTACAAACTTTTCATGTAAAGAAATTATAAATAATTGAGACTAATATGTTTAAATTTATTTGAATATTATGGTACAGAGTTGAGAACTAACGACTCAATCCAGATTATAATTACAATTTTTATTGAAACTGCTTGCAGGTCAGCCTCCTTAAAGCTAAACTGAATATGTGCTGTCCAGAAGGGGCTAAGGAAAGGGTTTTTAAAGGCAGAGATCACAATTACCTGTTCCTGTGGAATTTGTAGCTTTATGAGGCTGTTTCACTCTCCTCAGCTACATGGCAATAAAGGAGCTGTCTCATTCCCCTGTACACAGCAATCAGTGCATTCACAGAAGCCAGAGCAAGCGGTTAATGATCTCACTGCAGTTACACCACTCTGGAGAGGGTGCAGAATGGTAGGAGCTCATCTTTCAGGAATTTAGGGCAGAGGCCAACAGGTACTAGAAGGGCGCCTGGTATAGAATGGAGTTTATACAATGAGTATGGATTGTATGTTTTTTTTGTTTTTTTTTTTAAATATAATTTTTTTATTGAAAAAAAAAAAGATTTCCGCCTCCTCCCCGCCTCCCATTTCCCTCCCCGTCTCCCTTTTCCCCCCTCCTCCCTCTCCTCTCCCCCTCCCCCCCACTCCTCTCCCCCTCCCTCTCCAGTCTGAGGGGCAGTCAGGGTTCCCTGCCCTGTGGAAAGTCCAAAGTCCTCCCCGCTCCATCTTGGTCTAGGAAGGTGGACATCCAAACTGGCTAGGCTCCCACAAAGCCAGAACATGAAGTAGGATCAAAACCCAGTGGCATTGTCCTTGGCTTCTCAGCAGCCCTCATTGTCCGCCATATTCAGAGAGTCTGGTTTTATCCCATGGTTTTTCAGTCGTAGTCCAGCTGGCCTTGGTGAGCTCACAATAGATCAGCCCCACTGTCTCCGTGGGTGGGTGCACCCCTCGTGGTCCTGACTTCTTTGCTCATATTTTCCCTCCTTCTGCTCCTCCTTGGGACATTGGGAGCTCAGTCCAGTGCTCCAGTGTGGGTCTCTGTCTCTATCTCCATCCATCTCCAGATGAAGGTTCTATGGTGATATGCAAGATATTAATCAGTATGGCTATAGGATAGGGTAACATCAATGGTACCTATTAGATATTTATAAGTTATATGTTATTTTAAGAACTTACCTAGTTAATAATCATATGTTCACACTTTTAAAATAAGTGACCCTGGCTAAGGAGAGAGCTTAGCAGTTAAAGCCCTTACACACAAGCAAGAGGGCCAGCATTCAGGTTCCCAGTCTCAGAAGGCTGAGAGATATCATGCCCTGAGCAAAATGACTATCTGAACTCTCTGTAACAGTGAGCTCTGAATTTCACTGAGAGACCTTGCCTCAGAAGATAACGTGGGAGAGCAACTGAACAAGATTGCTGGGGCTGGATAGCTGGTTAAGAGCACTTGTTACTCTTTCATAGAAGCTAGAGTTCAGTTCTTGGCATCCATGTGGTGGCTCAGCTCACAACTGTCTGTAACTCCAGATGAAGTTCCAGAGGATTCACCTTCATTTGGCCTCCAAGAACACTACATGTACTTGGAATACAGACGTATATTCAGACAAAATATAGAATAAAAATAAATACATATTTTGAAAAATATTCCCAATATCAACCTCAGTCCTAAAAGGTATGTTTGTGCATGTGTGCATATAAATACACATACACAAAGATGTGTGCACATGTGCTCATGAACACATATGCATGCATGCTATATCTATACACATGAAGAAAAAAATAGAAACAAGTGATCACATATCTTTAGTGTGTATACATGTGTGTGATATTTTGAGCTATGCTCGTGATCTCAAGAAAATGTCCGATTCCTAGATATTGAACAAAAGGTTTGCACATAATTATTGATAGCTTCTGGTTTTGATAGCTAGTTTAAGGATGTGTTATACAATTGGTTTGATACTGTGCTGGCTAGTTTTATGTCAGTTTGATACAAGATAGACTCACTGGAGAGGAGGGAGCCTCAATTAAGAAAATACCTCAGTAAGATTGGACTGTAGGCAGGCCTATAGATAATTTTCTTAATTAGTGGTTGATGTGGGAGTGCAGCCCTTGTCCCAGGGGCCACCTCTGGGTGTATAAAAAGCAGGCTGAGCAAGCCATGAGAGCAAGTCAATAAGCAATGTTTCTCTGGCCTCTGCATCAACCGCTGCCTCCAGGATCCTGCCTGCTTGAGTTCCTGTCCTCTCGTCCTTTGACGGTGAACTGTGATGTGAAAGTGTAAGCCAAATAAACCTTCCTTCTCCAACTTTTTGGTCATGGTATATTTTGTCTAAAACAAACACCACAAGGAATAGCTAGACAAGAAAGATAGGGAAAGACCTATGCAAAGGCCAGTGACTCCAAGCCCCCCACACTTACACCACCACCACCACAAAAATGCATCTTGTAGCACAAAGGGATATTATATATTAATTCTTGGAAGTTTGTAATTTAATATATTTACCTTTTAAGTCCCAATGCAGAAGCATGAGGACTTGAATTTAGATCCCTGGAATCTACTACATAAAAAGGTCCAAAGTGCCTATAAGGCCAAGAAGTGGAGAGACAAGAAACAGAAAGATTCCTAGAATTTACTGGCTCAATGAGTTTTAGATTCAGTAACTCTGTCTCACAAAATAAGTTGGAGAATGTGGTGGTTTGAATACAAATGACGCCTATAGATCAATAGGGAGTGGTACTGTTAGGAGGAATGACATTGATGGAGTAGTTATAGCTTTGTTGAAGGAAGTGAGTCATTGGAGGCTGGGCTTTGAGGTCTCAGAAGCTCAAGCCAGGCCTAATGGTTCACAGTCTCTTCCTGTTGCCTGGGGATCCAGATATTAGAACTCTCGGCTCCTTCTCCAGCACCGTGTCTGCTTGAGTGTCACAATGTTGCACCATGACAATAATGGATTAAACCTCTGAATTGTAAACCAGCCCCAATTGAATGTTTTTCTTTATAAGAGTTGTCATAGTGATAAAGTCTCTTCACAGCAATAAAACCCTAGCTAAAACAGAGTGACTGAGGAAGGTACAAGATGTTGACCACTGGTCTCCACAACCACATGCACATACACATACTTACATGGACAGGTGAATGCACCCATACTAGTACATACACAACACACTGTACTACACACACCTGAGGCACAGAAAAAGATACAAAGCCAAAAACGGACAAAATAAGTATCCTTCTAAGAACAGTTCTTGTTTCTGTATTTGTTTTATTTGTTTTCCGAACTTTTAAGGGAGGAAGTTAGATCCTGCACCGCTGTGCAGGAAGGTCAGCTCGCCATACCCCACTCTCTGAAAAACATAATGTAAACTGATAATTCCTGATGCACACACACAAAGCACCTAACAACTGATTTCTATGTCACTTAATAAATGACATTCTACTCCATTGTTTAAGAAATTGAGTCCTATTCTGATCCACAAGCCTGTGTCCTTCTCTTTGACAGCTAAACGAGATATTTCCCATTAATTGGAGAAACCACTTTTATTTTGAATCCTCTCCTTCATCCGAAGGTTTGACTGTAGACTTCAGGCAGCTGTCAGGATCCTGGAACGTTCACTGTCAACACTGTCCCTGAAAACATTTCAAAGCAGGGCTGAGATAGAGAATAGCTTCACTTCAAGAGTGGGCTTGCAATGCTCGCTGCTCCCAGGAAAGTGTTCTGTACAATAATTTACAGCAACGGGGTGGGTGGTGACCTTAAGGGCTGGGAACTCATTGGGCAAACATTTGAGATTTGAGGATTGTATTGTATAATTCAAATGAAGAAAATATAGGTATTTTCCCTAATCCGATGTGACTAATGCCAAATGCAACAACGAACAGGGATACCAGTCTGAGGCATCCTGGATAAGATGAGCACCAGGGGTGCTGGCTGTATGATGACCCACAGCTGTGCTCCAGGTCTCTGCGGGCCCTATGCTTTATTCTTCAAGCTCGAGTTCCGAGCAGTGATCACTGGGCCAACTAGTCTTTCCACCCTTTCTGAGTAGTGTTGCCCTTGTTTATTTGAGCCAGGGTCAGCTCCTGCTGGTAAGCAGATTCTAGAGCAACTGTAAAGCAGATGGGGGAGGAACTATGAGCAACATCTGTTGGGGGACAACCCATAGAGGAGCACGACCCTGACTGGGGAGGAGCTCCACAGCCTGTGGAAGAGTACCACCCAAGCTGAGGAGTGCAGCAAAGCGGAAGAGGACTTGGGAGCAGTGCAACTTCCTACGGGTTGAGTTAAAGGTGTCAGAGAATGAGCACAGCAGATAAAGGTTAGCAGTTGACAAGCCGGATATTCCTGGGCGAGAGCGCAACCCCGTTATTCCAATCCCTTGAATTGAGGCGCTGCCTCACTGCCAACCGATTGGCCTAGTCAGCATCACCTTGAGTCACTGGCCCTCCGGGAGTGGCCTGGCCACGCCCACTTGTGTCGCCTGGCTCACTTTAGTTTCAGGATTGTTGCGTCTGTTCGCTCAGCTCAAAAGCAACTCCCTGGTGGCCTGGCGCTCAGTTTTCCCTTCATTCTGGTAACATGACGGCGGAACCTCTCGCGCCGGACGCAAAGCCTCCCCGCCGCAGGAGGAAGACCTCCACTTTCTGGTGGTGCTTCCTGGGCCTCTGCGCAGAGGCCCTTTTGTTCCTGCTGTCTACTTTATCTGGTAGGATCCAGGAGTCTGTGTCTCGGGAGTGCTGGTACCTTGTCTGTAGAAGGAGCTCACAGCGAGGAGCTCATCCAAGGTTGGGTTGAGCAAGGTTGGCGTGGAGGACCTGGTAGAGTATTCCTAGAGTTATGCAAATATGTGGTGTGGAGACCATGCAGTCCCCATCCCCAAAGTGCAGACTAGTTTAGTGGGAAGCACTTAAAGGGTAGGCAGCCTGAGTGGAGAGAGGAATAGATGTTCATTCAGAGCCTGGCTGTGGCAGACTCTTTTCGGGGTTTAGGGTAGGCCTAGTCTTCAACCGTGGGAAAGGCAGGTCGTACAGCTTGTGCAGAGGGTGAGCAACTCTCAAGGTTTAGAGGGGAGGGAAAGTCACACCTGGCTTGTTTTATCTTAAGTCATTTCCTTGTTGCCTGAGGCGGGGTGGGCTTGGGTTACAAGTGGCTGTTTTGGGCTTAACATTTTTTATTAGATTTTTTTTCACATAGAACATATTTAATCATATTCCTCACACCCCTCCTCCAGACTTCGAGTTATCCTAGCCAATATAGACAGTGCCTGATGATATTACCAAATGGTTTTGAGTCATTGTTCGTCTTCCTTTGAAGACAAAGTCATAGGAAAAAAATTGAAACATCAGTCCAAAGACAAGAAGTATAAGTAACACTCTGGTTTTCCCCTCAGCTCATGAACCGAAACTTAAGGTTTCTCCCATCACTTTTTGGTGGTGTTTCATTACATGGAATAAATATGCTTACTGTATAAAATTTACAAAAAGAACAATGTTTCCTTCTGCTTTTCAACCCTCTGTGAATGTTTCCCTGATATATACTCTTGCAAAATATTATTTTAAATATGTAAAGACATGTTACATTTGTTTATGTTGAGGAATATTACTTTAACTGTGTAAAGATGTGTTACATTTGTTTATGCTGCATTTGTTTAACAATGTAAGGATGTGTGTTTAGTTATGAAAAGCTGTGTTGCTTTTGGTTCACTTTGCCTGCTAAGACACCTGATTGGTCAAATAAAGAGCTGAATGGCCAATAGCTAGGCAGAGAAAGGATAGGCGGGTTGGGCAGGGAGAGAGAATAAATAGGAGAACCAGGATAGTAAGAGGAGCAAAGGAGGGATACACCCAGGGAAAAAGCCAGGCAGCCGCCAGCCAGAAGGCACAAGCAGTGAAAGTAAGATATACAGAAAGAAAGTAAAAAGCCCTGAGGCAATAGGTAGATGAGGAGAAACAGGTTAAGTTAAAAAAAAAAAAAAAAAAAAAGCCAGACACGGAACCTAAGCTTGGCTGAACATTCAAAACTAGTAAGTTTCCATGTCCTGATTTGGGAGCTGGTTGGTGGTCCAAAAGAAAAAGCTTGGTACACATACATCATCCTGTACATGTAGTCTATATGTATTTCTGTATCCCTCATTAGAGGCATCCACTCAGCAATATTTCCCTTCAATATTCCAGGCTCTGTTGGCCTAAGGATGGCTATGCTGGGAGGCAGTCATAAACCAGCCTTGTTTTTGTGATCCTCTTCCACTGGTTGTTCACACATATATGTGTATGAATATAAGCAGACACTTTATTATGCTGATAGATCCCTAGTGACAGATAAATAGTAGATGATCTATAGATATTTGCTAATATTTATTAGGAGTGGCAAATATTAACCAAACCTTAACGTTAATAGACCACACTCTGGAGTAAGGAGCATGCTTCTCTGACTGGATTAAAAATTGACTCTTGGCAGGACATACAACAATCCAAACTCTGACATTTTAAACCATTGGCTTGTTACTGTTTCCCCATACATGGAACCTTTCCCTGACATTACATATTTGACCATCTTCTCTTCAAACTTTGCCAGGGTGTTAGCTCTCAGGGAGACCTCATATGACTACCCTCAGTAGACACAACCCAGATAAAGCCCCACACACACACACACACTGAACTTGAGATCACATTTCTAAAACTGTCTTTTCTGTTTTCTACCTCTCCCATTCGAAAGCAGAGCTCTTATCTTTTTTCACACCTGATACTCCAAATGGCTGTTTTGGATTTATATTGTTTTGTTTTTAAGAATACTGTTTGAAACAGACTTCAAGCTAAATGTTGAAGCATACTCTTAAGCTATTTGTAATAGATGAAAACAGATAAATGTTGACAGAGGTTTCTGTCCTGCCTGGTCCTACAGCCATTCAGTGCCAAAGAAACACATAGAGGTTTACATTAATCATAAACTGATTGGCTTATTAGCTCAGGCTTCTTATTAACTCTTTCTTACATCTTAAATTAGCCCATAATTCTTGTCTGTGTTAGTCACGTGGCTTGGTACCTTTCATCAGCGAGACATTCTCTTTTTGTTTCCTCTGCGGCTGGGTTATGTCTGCAGACTCACCATTTCCTCTTTCCAGAATTCTCCTGTTCTTGTTGCCCTGCCTGTACTTCCTGCCTGGCTACTGACCAATCAGTGTTTTATTAATACAAGATCATTGTCCCATAGCAGATAAATAAAATAAATTGAATATAACATAAATGGAGGGGAAAGTGAAAAGGAAGGAAAGCAAGATAAAATCTGAAAACTAAAAGGTAGATTAAAAAAAACCTGGAAAACATAAAAGAAAGTTTATTGTGCTAGTCAAGAAGGAAAGAATAGGGTCTCATTTTTGGAACAATTCAACTTGTGAGGAAAGGGGTTTACAAGTATCCAGCATCGAAAGCCTATCATCAGGATTGCAAAAGAGAATCTGTTAGATTTTGAGGTTGGTCTCCTTCCTTCAGAAGAATGGCTGCTTCTTTAATCCAAGCTACAGCCTCCTGTTGTGTCTGTTCCAATATACCTATTTTAGGTCTTCCTAAGACTAGTAAATGCTTACACTCTAGTGTCTCCATCCTTACTCTGTGTGCTACAGTGTAACAGAATTATCTTTATGTGGTCAGCTGCTGAGTTATACAATACTAGCAGACTGGAGAGATGGCTCAGTCATTAAGAGCACTGTCTGCTCTCCCAATGGTCCTGAGTTCAATTCCCAGCAACCACATGGTGGCTCCCAACCATCTATAATGACCTCTGGTGCCCTCTTGAGGAAGAGACCTGGTCAGTTGTCCTCATCAACTTAGAACTTGAAGCCCAATATAGACAAGCTCAACAGAACCCACACATACAGGCTGCCCATGCATGCTTCAGCTTTGACAGGGCATAAATATCATTTCAAATTCATTTTTTAGCACACAGAGCAAAAAACAAAAAATAGATGGCTCTCCTTTCTTAGATATCTCTTCTTTCTCCAGTGAATAAATCTTGCAAATAACTATTTTCATTATTATAATCATGACAATATAATCCTTGTAAGTGCTTTATTGTACTCTAATGCTAGTGTGACGAGCCAATGCTGAATAATGTAGCCGTATTGATTTCACCTATTGAACACAGCCATCATGTGACCTATATGAGATACTCTGATAGGGGGCAGTCCAAAGGAAGGGACCAAAGTACTGTTTCCAGAGTTGAGGCATTAGATGTTCCCTCCAGGTGTCTAGAAAGAGGGGAGAGCTACCAGTGTGCATAGCTAGGAACTGAGTGGGATGTGGAGCAATGAAAGCAAAGATATCCAAGATGGGACACAGCTGATCAGCAGCTACTTAGTTCGACACAAGAGATAAGAAAAAAGTAGAGTACTAAGTAATTATGAGAAGTGAGGGGCTAGTTCGGAACAGTACAGGCTCTGATGGTTTACCTGATGTGTGGAACACCTTTTATTCCTTACTTAGTACAACTTGTGTCTAAACTACAGCTACTGTAATGTCCCCAAGCAATATAACAGGCCATTTTTTTGCGGACTAAAGCAGGATAGGGTGACATCTGCCTTGGAGAGGGTCATAGCATTGGCAGTGGCACCCAGTGTGACCTGGGCACAGGCTGCCTAGCTTGACGCCTAGCTTGACACATACTTGGAATGCTTTCCTGAACAGGTTTTTCCACCTTGTGATACTTCAGTTTTCTCATTTTACAGAAGGAGAAACTGTTTTAAATAATTAGTATGAAGATATGTTAAAGAACACCATATGCTTAGCACAATGTGCTGAGTCTTTGCTATTTGTAGTTTTTTAAAATCCTCATCACTGTTGTTATAAGTTCTGATATCTGTTATTACTGTACTTCCAGGAAAATACAACCCACAGTATTTGGAATTTGCTTTCTAATTTTAGCAGTAATGCAGAATAAGCCCATAACAAACCTGAAAAGTGTAAATATTTTGACATGAAAGAAGTATTAACACAGAGAAATATTTATAGCTAAAATAATAAAAATTTGTTAAGACTGTCTGAAAAAAAGAAAAGAAAACATGACTTTGAGATATCATCAAAACAAATTCTTTGAATAGTAAAGAATTTGAATTTTGATTTATAGATGATAAAGCATCAATCACAGCACTCATTCAACTTTAGTACTGGGTACTAGAGGAGTAATAGTGAATGAAACATAGTCCTTAAGAACAGGATAGTCTCATATCTTTCATTTTTAAAAAACCAAAACCATTTATCATGTCTCCTTGTTTTGCTTTTGAATAAAAGTAAATTCATTCTTAAATAACTCAAAAGCTGATGTTATTTTAAACCAGTCAGGGATATTCTTGTATTACTGCCACTGCTTGAGTAAAGAAAGGCAGGCACTAAGAGTTTAGAATCTTGCTTTTAAAACAAATTCTTTTTTCTGTGCTTCCTGCCACAAAATAGCCTTTCTTAGTTTATAACAGTGGTTTTCACACTTCATCTTCATGTTCTTGCTTCCTTATTTTTAGATGCTTGTGAACTACCACCACCATTTGAAGCTATGGAACTCAAGGGTGTGCCTAAACTCTATTATGAAGTTGGAGAGATAATAGAATATAAGTGTAAAAAAGGATACCTATATATGATTCCATTCCCCATGTTTGCTACCTGTGAACCAAATCACACATGGGTCCCTATTTCAGATCACGGTTGTCTTAGTAAGTAAACTCAACTTTTCTGTTTTCTTGATCTTCAGACATTTTAGGATTGGGGTGCTTATACCCCTATTGCAGTGATGCTTTTCCTATGAAACAAAGTTTTGATTTAAATGTGAGGGTGTTTTTTTTTCAGGCTTTGGGAAATTTATAGGGAATCTTTTTTTTGGAAAATTAGTTGATTTCATAATTGTTAATCTTGTGCTTGTCCTTTGCATTAGTTACTTTTCTGATGTGGTGAAACACCATGACCAGGACAACTTATAAAAGAAAGGGTTTAATTGGGCTTGTGCTCTCAGAGGGTTAGAGTCCATGATGGTAGATCAAAGGTATCATGGCAGGAACAGATGAGATTCACATCTCAGAATGGCAAGTAGGTTCAGAGAGTGTACTGGAAATGGCAAAAATCTTTTGAAACCTCAAAGCACACCTCCACCCTAGTGATATCCTTTCTCCGGCAAGACTAGACTTCCTAATCTTCCTCAAACAGCACCGATTAGACACCCAATTTTCAAATGCCCTTATGAAGAACATCTTATTCAAATCACCATGCCCTTATAATGTAACCATTAAAGAAAATAATCTACAAAGTCGAAAGAACCATGTATGACTTTTTTACCTTGATTCAAAGTGCAACTGGCTTTGGAGTTGAATTAAATTTTTACTGTTATTTTCTTCTAGAAGTAGAATGTTCATCATTAAAGAGCCCTTCATTTGGCAATGTACACTACATGGATGGCAGACCTTCATGGGGTAATCGAGCTCAATTTTCTTGTGTGGAGGGGTAAGTTGCTCCTTATGGGAAATAAGGTAAATGTTCCTGATTCCATTGTTCTACTTCTCTTTTTTAATCATTCAAGTAAATTTGCTTACTATATGAGGGTTGCTCCTAGCCAAACAACATTTGCGTACTTTATGGAGATAGGAGAGGTGCTTAATCAATAAAGAAGTTGAAGGAAAACTAATCTGTATCATTCATGTATCTAATAATAAGTCTATGATAAACATTAAGAATGGAGTAATCTGCCAAGGATGGTGGTTCAATTTGTAATTCCAGCACTCAGGAGGTTGAGGCAGGTGGATCTCCCTGAGTTTGAGGGCACTCTGACTACACAGTGAGTTCCAGGCCAGTCTGGGCTACATATCCAAAGGGTGAGCTTACTACTCACAGTCAAGTGTACCTACCGCCAGCTCAAGGACAAAGTGGGGCGCTCATAAAATTAAGGCAGAACTGCTAACCAAAGGAGAATTCTTGAAGGCATTAACAAGTTAAATGTAACTTAACTCATCTTTACCACGTGATAGGATGTTTTGGTTGGAAAACCTTATTTTTCAGATTTCTACATAACCTGAATTGTCTCCAAAGGAGGCATTGGTCACTGAGTAAGTCTTTGTTCTCTAGAGCTCTCTTAGAAGTAATTGTGACTCTTGGGCAAAATTGGCTGTGACTGTCATCAGAGAGTTTCATTGATATTTTTTGTTTTGTTTGTTTTTGTTTTTTGAGACAAGGTTCTCTATGTAACAGCCCTGACTCTTCTGGAACATGCGTTGTAGACCGGACTGGCCTCAAACTCACAGAGATCTGCCTGCTGGAATTAAAGGAATGCACCACCATGCTTGGCAATAAATTTTTAACTTTATCAAGTAAAAGTACATTTAGGTAAAGGAAATTTAGGTTGAGGAAATTTCCTAGGTTCTTTGAGGGAACCAAAAGTTTAGGCCATAAATATTTTTCAAAGACTAATCTTGTTGAGAAACCCAGTAGATACAGAAGCTATCAGAGCAAAATTATAAAAAAATACCAGATAAGAATTTTTGTGGTGATGGAATAAGTCCAGAATAATAATCTGTGAATTAGCATAACTGGGAGACTTGACAGGATTAATCATGAGCTGTTCCTAGAAAGACATTATAAATCATTATATTAGTAAGAAATAACATAGTCTTTCTACTTGTTGTGTGCCAGACTCTTGTTTATCTAATTATCTTGAACAATCTTATAAGATATCTGATTTACTATTATTTTTTTTTGGTGTGTGTGTGTGTATATGAGAGAGAGAGAGAGAGAGAGAGAGAGAGAGAGAGAGAGAGAGAGAGAGAGAGAGAGAGAAGAGAGAAGAGAGGAGAGAGGAGAGAGGAGGAGAGAGGAGAGAGACAGGAAAGAGAGACTGACTCACTATATAAACCTGGTTGGCCTGGAGCTTGCTGTGTAGACAAAACTGGCCTTTAATTCACAGAAATATACGTTCCTCTACCTCCTGGGTTCTGAGATTAAAGTTGTGTGCCAGCACGCCTAGCTATTTGTATGTTTTTAATTGAGGAACAAGAGAAACTTAAAATGGTTTGTCCAAGCTTGAGTAGCCTGTCAGTCATGGAAATAGAACTAGAACCCAGGCAGTCCTTTCCTAAGGAAACTTCCCTCCTCTGTCCATTCTCCCAGAGCAGAACAGATGGGCAAAGACAAAGAAGCAGAGTAGTAGGAGATAGCAAAGATGCCAGGTCACATCAGATGTGCCTAGATATCACAGCTCTTGGACTGCGTGCTCACAGACAGAAACTCTTTATCTAATTAAAGTTTGGTTAGATTTGTTTAGTACTGTCATTATACCTTGTTTAAGAAACCTATCCTTCAAACTACTATAGCATAGGAAAAAAAACTATCTGAAACTGTCTTTCATTATTATGTGTATTTTATCAGCTGCCAAAGAAAACAGTAACTTTTTCTTTGCTCATTTAGTTATTACTTAATTGGTATGTCAGTTCTACACTGTGTGCTTAAAGGTGATGATGATGCACACTGGGATGGTCCTCCCCCACGTTGTGAAAGTAAGTACATTCTCTTTTTAAAATTTACACTATCACTTCTCAACCATTTTGGCCTCAGGACCCTATTGTGATTTTAGATTAATAAGTACCCAAAAACCTTTTCTCCCTGGTTATATCTATTGATATTAATCATGTTGGAATTAGAATGAAAATATTTTTGAATAATTATTTTAAGGACAATAAACTTTACTATTAATATATCTCACATATTTTTATTGAAATTTTAATAGTAAGAATAGGGACACTGCATTTTGTTTTGCAAATCTCTTCAATATTTGACTTGGAGGAAGACATTGGGAATTAGTCTGTTCAATTATCAAAGTTTGTTACTTCTGCAAAAACATTTTTACTGTAAGGATGATAGTGATACATTATAGTATGTTAGTATGATTTTAAGCCACCATTCTACTGAATGAATGTACCTGCACCTTCAAACACATTTCTCAATCAGTATTCAACGTGATTTTTTTTCATCACAAAGGTTTTCACCAGATGATCAGCATCTTTTCTATTGACTAGAACAAAACTTGGCATGACCTCACAAATAAGGTCATTCCTTCCCTTAGGAAAATGAGTGTTGTCCTGAAAGGTCATTTCTGTGTTAGTGGTTTAAATTGGAAGTGATGGATTTTCTCATAGAAACCCTCTTCTAGATGAAAATTGGGTTCATAAATAACTCATAAAAACCTTGTACTGATAAATTTGTTAATAATTTATAGAGTTTCCTAATACTGTCTTGAATAGGTACACTGCCTTAATTATAACTTTATTTCCCTTTTTTCTTTTTTTATAAAGAAATCTCTTGTGTGCCACCTCCAAAAATAAAAAATGGGACACACACCTTTAGTGATATTGATGTATTCAGATACCGTGAAGCAGTGATTTACAGTTGTGATCCTATCTCAGGGCCAGATAAGTTTTCCCTTATTGGAATGAGCATGCTGATCTGTACTGGCCATAACACCTGGAGCAGCCAGGCTCCCGAGTGTAAAGGTAATCATCTTTCCTTCATTTGCAAGTAGTTTTACCTAAAAGTAAACACAGTGAGCATATGGCTTTTATACTCTTCTAAAACTGTTTTCTAATTTAATTTCATAGCTGTTAAGTTAAATCCAAAAATAATTCTATTTATGGAGTTCCATCCTCATTTCCTAGAATGTGAGCCATGAGGTGGGGTATTTTTGTTTTAAAGAACCAAAACACTCAACATACACTGGCTGGAAAATAAGGAAGTTATTCTGTGTTACAAGAAGACAGGACAGTCTAGCTACAGGTAATGGCAGAGCAGATTATGATTAGCAGCCCTCTCACTGAAAGAATAGTAAAAATCTAGACAAAAAAAGTTTGCTTTTTGTATTTTTTTTTATCCTAAATTGTTTACGGCATGGAAGCGTTACCAAAAACATGGAGCCACTGGAAGGTTTTGCTCTTGAAAGAGAGCTACCACTGACTCCCAGCAAATCCTTATCTTTCCAAGTGGGACGGCTGCAAGGTAGAAAACAATCTAGGTGCTTAGATGTTTTTGTTGTTGTTGTTTTGCCTGTTTTTGCTGTTTGTTATTTTGACATAAGGTCTCACTATGTAAACCTGGCTAGCCTAGAACTTACAGAGATCCTCCAGGTTCTGCCTCTTGAGTGCTAGAATTAAAAGTGTATGTCACCAGGACTGGTGACTAATACAATTTTTAACAAATATAAAAAATAGTAATTTAAAGTGTATTACCTACTCTTAAGAAATGAAAGTAGAGGGGCTGGAGAGATGGCTCAGTGGTGAAGAGCATTGCCTGCTCTTCCAAAGGTCCTGAGTTCAATTCCCAGCAACCACATGGTGGCTCACAACCATCTGTAATGAGGTCTGGTGCCCTCTTCTGGCCTTCAGGCATACACGCAGAAAGAATATTGTGTACATAATAAATAAATATTTAAAAAAAAATGAAAGTAGAAATCCACAAAATCTGAAAATTATGCAAGATACTTCTAAATAATCTATAGGTAAAGAAGTTAGCAGGAAAATTGGAAAGTCTGTGAAATGTATAAAAATAAAAACAGCTTCTCAGAATGTCAGGACTTGCCAGGGTTCACCTGAAGTACACTTCCTATCACAAAATATTTGTGTTAGAAAAATAAAAATTGTAAATTAGGGACCAAAGGACCTAGTCCTAGCCTTCCACTGTAATAATCTAAAGAGCAAATTAAATTATCAAGTTGCAAGAAAGTACAGCAGACATCAATGAAGCAGAAAAAAGAGGAGAGAACAAGAAAAATAATAGAAACCGACAGCTGTGTTTTGGGAGAAGATGGATAAATTAGATAAAACTATAGCCAGAAGTATATGTGTGGGGGGGGGGAGAGGTAGAGGGACCAACATTAAGAATAAGAAGGAGCAGGTGGTAGTGATGCACATCTTTAATCCCAGCACTCGGGAGGCAGGGGCAGGCAGATTTCGGTGAGTTCAAGGCTAGCCTGTTCTACAGGAGCTAGTTCCAGGAGAGGCTCCAAAGCTACAGAGAAACCCTGTCTCAATAAATAAATAAATAGAAAGAAGGAAAGAAAGAAAGAAAGAAAGAAAGAAAGAAAGAAAGNATTTTTATTATTTAAAACAATTTTAAAATAAATATGTTTTAATCATATTCTTCCTATCACTTGTCTTTCCATATCATCTCCCCCTCCCTACTCATCTAACTTGAAGTTCTTTCTTTCTTTTTTTTTTCTTTTTTGGTTTTTCGAGACAGGGTTTCTCTGTGGTTTTGGAGCCTGTCCTGGAACTAGCTCTTGTAGACCAGGCTGGTCTCGAACTCACAGAGATCCGCCTGCCTCTGCCTCCCAAGTGCTGGGATTAAAGGCGTGCGCCACCACCGCCCGGCTTAACCTATAGGTTAAGAGCACTGGCTGCTCTTCCAGAGGTCCTGAGTTCAATTCCCAGCAACCACATGGTGGCTCACAACCATCCTTAATGAGATCTGGTGCCCTCTTCTGCCCCGCAGGCATACATGCTTATAGAACACTGTACATAATAAATAAACCTATAGGTTTTTAATCAAGAAAAATTCTTTGAGACAGAAGCATTAAAAATAACTGGACCACTTCTATATAAACCAAAGCTGAGAACTTTCCCAGCCAGCCTATGAGAATTGCCAAAGTGGGGCTGGAGTGATGACTCAGCGGTTAAAAGCACTGGCCCTCTTGCAAAGGACACAGGTACAATTCCCAGCACCCACATGGCGATTCCCAGCTGTCTCTAACTTTGATTCTAGGGGATCTGGCATCTTCCTGCAGACAAAAGCTCAATGCACATAAAAAATAAAAAAGTCTTAAAATTGCAAAAGGAAGCACTGGACTGAAAAAAAAAAAATGGTACCAGACAGGAGCTCAGGCCCCCAGGAATGGGCAGAGCACTTGAGTTTAACAAGCTGAACGTGATCTGGTCTCAGCTGCTGTTCAGTTTACACCTCACAGTATAGGATAACATCCATAGTGCCTAAACTAGCAATTTTTGTCCCTCTCCCCCAATTCTTCTAGTAGACTATGAATCAGTCTAATGGATTGTGACTAATTTTACTTAAAGAATGGGGGAAGGTGAGTATTATTGTGAATTTCTGAGGGATCTATGTGCTCATATTTGCAACACAAAATATGTTTCTTTAACTCTGAGTTGTAATCTTAAAAGTTTCAGAAAATTTATATGAAAAATAAACCAGATTTTTATTAAATTGTGATCAATTCTCTTTTCAGTGGTAAAATGTCCATTTCCACTACTACAAAACGGAAGACAGATAGCAGGATTTGAAAAGAAATTTTCCTATGAAGCAACAGTGACATTTGAATGTGAGGAGGGTTTCTACATGAAGGGCAGGGACACGGTGGTCTGCAATGCTAACAGCACTTGGGAGCCTCCAATCCCAATGTGTATTAAAGGTATAAACAATGTCTCATTTCCCTTCTTTAATTTCCCTTTTGTTTGCTTGCTTGTTTTGAAATTTATTTCATTATTGTTAAATATTATGAAACCTGAAAAGCAATAATTTTGGTACATAGCTCAGGCTTATAATCATTCCTGTGCCATATATATGACATAAAATTCTGCTGTTGTGATTTTTGTTATTTTGGGGGGGGGATTTTAGTTTATTAGAGCATAGCAATATTCTCTTAAGTGCATTTCAATATAAAAAGTGGATTGCAACATTTTTCAGAGTAAATTGAAGCCTGGTTATTGCTATATAATTAAGTCAAGAATCAAAGGTATGACTCATGATAGTGAAAAGTTGGTCTAAATTACATTATTTTGTTTTCCAGTGTAATCCACCCTAATATAAAACCTCTAACTTTTGAGTTATTCAGGTTTATTAAAGTTCTGCATAATTTTTCTAACAATCTTTTAAATTCCTCGTGGAAGTGCCAGCAATAACTCTTGTTTGACCCAATTGACATTGTTCTTTTATTTTCTGGTGTCAACTACCAGTTTAAAATCTCCAGTTTTTATTCTCATATTTAATAATTTCCTTTTTATACTTTTAAAAAAATACTAAGTTCCTGGTTGATTTTTCAGATACCCTTTAAATTCCTGCATATCTATTTACTCATCATTTTTAGTACATTTAATAGTACAGAAAGAATGAATATATTTGCAGCCATTTCATTTGTCAGATGTAGTAACTTATTTTATTTGCTATAGTCCCACACATGAATAGGAATGTGAATTTAGAAAAGTTATGTCCATTTTAAATGTGTATTTCCATGTGTCAAATGATCTAGTACTTTTCTTATTGTGTCCAGGATGTAAGTGGGATGCCCTTAAAGGACTTACCACAATACCTGGTATATGGGATGCTCTTAAAGTTAGCTACATAGCTTCTCTACTTGCATCAATCTTAATAAAAAGGAAGGCCCTTGGCTTCTGTTTGTTGCTGTTTTCTGTATTCAGTTTTGCTACTTAACTCTTTTTTTTTTTTAACCGAAATGATTTGCTTACTCTTTTGCTCCTTATCATGTTAGACACAGTTCATTTCCTGAACTGTGGTCAGTTTGGGGGTGAAAGTCTCATTAGCCATCTTGTTTAGGATCTTGTATATACCCAAATTGGCCTCAATCACAGTACTCCTGCTTTAGTTTCTTCAGTGCTGGAATTACAAGCATGCACTATGCTCAGATTTTCAGTTTTTTTTTTTTTTTAAGTAGTGCATATAATAGAAATTTGTGCTGCCTCAAGAATGAAACCTGCGTTTTCCATTTCCTCCCCACTCCCCTTACCTATTTAAAACATTTGTTCATTATTTTTGTCTTTACCAGGCAACACTGACAAGAGAAACTAGATTTCTTAACAGCCGAGGGCTAGGAAGCCTCTCCAGCTGAAATGACATGGGTTTTCTAGAGACTCCCAATCAGCTGCTGTTAAGCATGGAGAAGTTTCTATGATGGAGGAACCATCATTCCCACTGCAGAGCTCCTTGCTGTGGTTCCAGCTGATGCTCTGGAAGCCACCAGGGTCTTGGAAAGAGCATCAGACAGGACTGACTGTGCACAGTCCTATCTTGACTCTGCCTAACCAAACTAACTTCATTTCTATGAACTTTGGATTTCATGTTGCTTTAACAAGGATATTGAACTCAAGTAAACCTCAATTACTGGTTCTAACTTGTTTAAAAATATTTTTTGTCTTCTTAATATTTTAAAGGTTTGAGAGATATGAGAATTGTACATGCTCACTTGCTCACCCAGTGATTAGAATCTCTTTTTTCTTTTTTTCTTCTTATTTTTTCTTTTGAGACAAGATTTTCACTATATACTAGAACAATCTGTGTAGATGAGGTTGGCCTAGAACTCACAGAAATTGCCTGCCTCCCAAGTGCTGGGATTAGAGGCATGTACCACCACGCCCAATTTCTGGAGTACATTTTGATATTTTATACAAGAACCTGACATCTCCAGTAGCTTTCTTTTATATCTTAGCTGAGTTTCTGTTGAAAGGAATTTTTGAAAGAATTGATAGTAAGTACTTGATAAAATATTTATGAAACACTAATTCAATTTGCTATTTGAAAGACAAGATATATAAGAAAAGGCTCATAAAGAAGTAAAACTAAGGGATCCTTCTGTTAAAAAAATCTTGGTAGAATTGTCTGTCATTTTTTATTGCCCATAGGGAAGAACTTGAATTGGAAAGCGGCAGCAGCAGTAGCCTATACCTAGTGTTATGGTAGGTCTGATGGTATGTGAAAAGTGGAGAGATTACGGTGCCCATTGTATGGTATCTGACTTGTTAGGGTGCATATGTTTACCTTGAACACATTCTCTTTATGATTTATTTTTAGTTACCTTCTAGGATTTGTATTTGTAGAATGCAAAGCTGTAGTGAAGATTTTTGTACACAGGTCTGTGAAATTATATATGTAGATCAAACATATCTATAGGCTAGGTCTCTAGTAGAACTATAAAGTACAGAAAGTATGTGTACCCTTTACTTTCATAGGTAATCTTTTTAAAAAATTAATGTTATAATTAAATTTATAATTGTATATTAATAAGCTTAATGAATTGATAGACTTTTTTTTTTTTAGGTCCTAAGCCTACTTATCCCACCAAGCCTCCAGTTTACAATTACCCAGGTTTGATAGTTCTTTATCCTACTGATGGAGTTAAGAGTTCCATGAGATATAGATGAGAAATGGTGTCTTGTTTTGTCATTTTTTCAGTTTTTAATAAGGTTGAACTTTTTAAAATTACATTTTTAAAGCATCCTTTGAGGTGGGGATGTCACTATTGATGCTCAGGCATTCAATTCTCATCTCAAATAATCTTTGCCTTTAGGTTCTTGCCACTGGACCCAATGGTCATTTATTCATATCCTCTTCCCTTTTTTTTCCTAAAATATTTTAATTTATATACATCTGGATATAGATTTATTTTTATAGATTAAAAGTATATAAATAATGTGAAAGTTAATTGCTACTAATATTTTAGGGTTGTTTTTTATTTTTGTACATCAACATGCTCTTATTTTTCCTTTTTCCTCATTATTTTGTGTGTGTGTTTGCATATATGTGGATACACACATTTGTGGTATATGCATGTGTTTGTGGAAATCTGAGGTTAATGTTGGGAATCATTCTCAATCCCTATTCCTTATTCCCTGTGGCAGGATGTCTTCATCAAATCCAGAACTCACAGATATAGCCAGTCTCTCTAATCTCTAGGAATCCCAACTCCACCTTCCAAGGCTAGATATGCAGGTAGACTTGTCTATGTAGGTGTCTGAGGATCCAAACGCAGATCATTAGTCTAATGTGGCAAGTGCTTGACCTCTGAGCTATCTTCCCCACCAACATTTTCTTTTTTTAAGCAAAAATCATATCAAACTTCACATATTTTTCGTTGATTTGTTCTTTCACTTAATGTCTTAGATTGGGATTTAGTTAGATTTATTCCCATAATAGTTTCTTTTGGAGGCCTTAAAAGTTTTTGCCTTTAAGACTCCCTTTCAGGACTCAATTAAAGACACCATGAATAGGTAAATGGGGGGCTAAAGATCTGAGGGTAAAGAAGTTTACTCACAACAGGAATCGTCTGACCATGTTTCTTCATTCTTCTCTCTTCAACCCATCATCTCTCATTGTTCCACCCATTACTTACTTGTTCTCCTTGTTCTACATTGTTCTTCCTTGTCCCTAGTTCTACCCATTACCAGGGTTCCCAGTCATATATATCCTTCAAACCAGCAATTTTCCAGCCCTAACAAGTTGGGGGGGGGCAGCATTCTTTTTCCCCATAGAAAATTAGATAAGGGTTTTCACATACACACACAGATCAATGGGAGTGGCTAGTACACATCCCGTGAACTACTTAATGGAGAAAGTTAGTAAGAAAGGAATTACATCATCAGGGATTCTTAGGGAGGAGGTTAGTATGCTACATTATTAGATGATAGATAAAAGATTAAAAGGTTTGTTTTCAGTAAAATCATGAATAGGGCACAGAATGTATTTTAAATCAGTGCACCACTTCTTTTCTCCTGGTATGCATAGAGGCTGTGAGGTAACTAGGCAACCCAGGGTAAGCTGATGGCTGCTTGATCCAATAGCACGTATACCAGACACCACAATTTCTACGGGCCTAGGTCTGGAGTTAAACTTAATGCTATAAGCAAAGAAGAGACCCAGGCCTCTAAATTATCAGTTCTGGGCTATGCTGTTATCAACCGTTCTGATCGTGGGGTAAAACCAGAGCAGCAGCTTGAGCAGGTAGTAACTCTACATCCTTGGAGATCCATGTATATCTTAGATGGGATGCCTGGACCCTAAACTCTGACCAAATGCCTGCTGATAAAGATAATTGCAGGAAGGCAGATCTCTGTGCTTACCTAGGAGAGAGGAACAAGGCCTGGCCAGTGGGAAACTGGTTTCACTAAACAGTTCTGTACTGTGAGAATTCCCAAATATGTAACAGAAAAAGAGTTAACTACAGCAAAAAAAAATTTACAGTAAAGGACAGCCACTGTATTCATGAAGCAATAATGCCAAAAGCCTTGCCTTTTGGTTTAGCCTTTACGACATCCCTTGGTTGCTCATGAAAAGATGTCTGAGCAATTACTGTATAATGTTATGACTTGTAGTAAGTTGCATACTATATATCCTACTTTACCAATCTCCTAGTGGTCATGTGTGTCAGAAGTTTTACATAAATGGGTGATGAGATATTTTAATTATTCCATCAATTGCTATGAGTTGTATGTCATATAAAAAGCTTTAGGTAAGAATGGGGATGGAGAGATAATTCAGTAGCTAAAAGCAAGTCCTGCTCTTGTTCAGTACCCCATTTGATTCTCAGCATCCATGTGGAGTGGCTCACAACCTACTGTAAGTCCAACTTCAGAGGATCTGACACTCTTCTGGCCTCCTCAAGTACCTGCATGTACATGGCACACACACACACACACACACACACACACACATGAATTAAAAAATAAAAATAAATCTTTAAATAAAAGCAGGCTTTTAGTCTTCTCCTGGTGAGAATTACATTATTTTATTCATATATCTGAATTCTTTATATCAAATTGAAACACATGGTGATATTTGTGGGGAGGGTAACAGGCTCCTCCTTCCCTCATCCCCACTTAGGGACTAAAAAAGGCTAGTGGATAAGTGGAACTATAAGCAGAGCTTTGTCATCTGGGAAGAAGACAGCTTGCCCAACTTTTCACTGTACATAAAATCACAGGTATTCCAGCCTTCTTTCTCATTTGGACCCTTCCCATTCCTGCACCAGAGTTGTCTTTTTAAAACTACAGTACTGTTTTTTTTGAATATTTGACTTTTTTAAAATTTCTAGACCATTCATGTTAATCTTGCAATTCAACCAGACAATCCTTTGGCATTACACACACAGACATTCTTGTGCAGCCAATTCTCTTTCCTCATCTCTAACTGAAACTTCCACTGTTAAATGACGACTTCCTGTTCCTCCCTCTCCCAGCACCTGCTGCACACTGTTTTCCTTGCTTCCCTATATAACTTTGTCCATTCTAAGTATTTCCTGTACCTAGATCATACAGAATCTATCCTTTTGTGCCTTGCTAACTTCATATAACTCTTGATCCATGTAACTTTCATCTCTTTCTAGGACACTTATGTCTGAATAATACTCCATTCCTTGTAGTGCCTCAGTTTTGCTTATTTGTTCATTTTGGTAAATTAAGGTTGCTTTATGTACACCTTCTAGCTATTTTGTACAGCTGTTTTTGAGTATGAAGTTAGACACCTATTCAAAGTTTCCACTTTTAATTTTTCTGGTGTACAACGAGGAATAGAACTTCTAGGTCATAAGGTGATTCAATTTCTTTTCTTCTCTTCTTCTTCTTCTTCTTCTTCTTCTTCTTCTTCTTCTTCTTCTTCTTCTTCTTCTTCTTCTTCTTCTTCTTCTTCCNTTCCTCTCTCTCTCTCTCTCTCTCTCTCTCTCTCTCTCTCTCTCTCTCTCTCTCTCTCTCTCTCTCTCTCTGGAAATTATTGCTTTCCACAACAGCTACATGATTTTATAGTCTTCACCACATTTCTTGCATCTCCATTCTCAGTTGTTCTGGTCTTTGTTTCATTTCGTTTTGTTTTGCTTTTGTAACAAGAGCCATCTGTTTTGTGTTGCTGTAACAAAATACCACAGATGAGATGATTTATAAAGGACAGAACTGGATTCAGGGAGGTATGTAATGTCAAAGTGCTACTGTTAGGCAAATTCCTTCTTTCTGCATCATAACAAGCCAGAAAGATAGGAGAAAAAGTATATGCCACATGGGCAGACTCTCTCCTGCAATGAGCCCAGTCTCTAGATAATGCCATGACACACTTGTTCCCTCATCATCTCAATACCCTTATGTCAGCAAGAATTTCTACATAAATTTTGGAGAAAGCAAGCATTCAAGCCATAGTACTAAGTTAGTATATGCATGTGTTTGTGGAAAAAGATATATTTTCATTAACTTCTTCAGACGTTTTGTTCTTTATTCTGCTGACACCACTGCTGATGACCTAGGGAGAGGAGAACAGCATGGAGGTGGGAGTGTGGGAGGAGTCTCCCCGTCTTCTAACAGCTAGAGACCAGAGAGAAACAGACCATGTATAACCTTCAGAGGCATGCCCATATCGTCCATCAGGGTCTACTTCCTAGTTGATACCACTTACTAATACTGCCATCAAGTTACATGTCTATGAATAGACTCTATTAATTTAATCAGAGTCCTTAAAATTCCACCATTTTTCAATGGCTGGGTCCATCAGTTGAGTATCACACCTTCAACACATGAGCTTTTGGGGGATGCTTTGTATGCATACCCACAATCATGTGTTTCCATGTATTTCTCTCTTAAATCATTTACAGCAAAGTTTCGTAGGCTTCTCTGTGTAAGTCTTTTATGGCCTTGGGGTTATTCTTTGTGTTTTACCTTTTCTATGCTATTGCAACTAGAGTTGTCATAATTTCCTTTATAAAGTATTCATTGTTCTTTGTGTGTGGATTTTGTATCCTGCAACTCTGCTGAACTCATTAGACTGTCTACAGAAAAAGCACATGTCATCTGTGGCTGAGGCTGTAGCAAAGTGGTGTAGGGTGACAGCTGAGCGTGTTTAGGCCTGGGTTCAACCCTCAACAGCACAAGAAAACAAAGGTCACTCCATTTTCAAACATATATTTTTCTAACGTTTATTCATTTTCTGCTTTTCTTACCTAATTGCTTTGGTTAGATTCCAATATCATATTGAATACAAGTGGCAAACCTGGGTACCCAATCTTGTTCCTGATTTTAGAGGGAAATTTTCTAATATTTTATTATTGATAATACTAACTGTGGGTTATTTTTATATGGGATCTATTTTGTTGAGAAAGTTTCTTTCCATTTCAGGTTGATAACTGAATTATTTATTGAGCCAATTCAATATCTTTAATTTTAACTAGACTCTCATAAAATTTACAGACTAATTTTGAGAATAAGGAAATTTGTATGCTACTATATATTATTACTATAGGGAATATTAATAGACAGGAAAAAGCTAATAATAAAAACATAAAACTGTAGAACTTTATAACAATACTCAAAAAAAATATTAATGGGACTTATAAGAAAAATGAAAGCTTAGAAGTTTTTATACATTGGTGAAGAATAAACTTGAGAATTTACAGGATTTTGATTTTTATTCTTTTATTTCTGTTTTATTTTACTTAACCCATTTTTCTTTCTTTTTCCCCCTAGGATATCCTAATCCCCGTGAAGGAATATTTGGCCAAGAATTAGGTTATTATTTCAGTTATTTATACCCGTGAAGTATGAAACATTAACAGTTTACATGGAAATATCATACATTTAAGTTACTGCCAGTTAAAAAGAAGCATATCTTGTCAGTAGTAATAGTTGACATTTAGGATAGCTTACTTGGGGCTGACACCATGACAGATGTAAGTACCACTGTGTAGAGTGACATGGCGGTAAGTGCAATGTCATAAAAGGGCCTCAATATAGGAAAATTAGTTGGTTGAGGTTAAAGTATATAAATCACAACTTGCCTTCCATGTGATTCTCTTCCTGATCTACATAAACCTTAAAGTACTATAAGTTGGATTAATATTTTTTTTGTGTGAAAGATTTGTTTAGCATAATTTATGTAGGCCTCAATTTATACAATATACATTAAACTAAATCAGGTATAGTTACAACAGCTAAAATTCAGTGATATGTAGGCATGATGAGCAAGACAAAAAATCTGCTATGTTTTATTTATTAGACTAGATTAGTAATGATTTTTTTTCTTAAATCATGTTTGGCTTATTTTTTATACATATGTGTCTCTTTATGCATGGGAGATTGGGTCTGATAAACCCGCGGTAACTTGAAAGTGTACTTAGCGTATTTACCTAAAGATTATCAGAGATATTCACATGGCCAAAGTTTGGGTTTCACTCATGTGATTCTGGTTCTGTAGGAACTGTGGCTTTCCACTACTGCCCAAGTTCTAAGATAAAGTTCCATGTCATTGCTAACCCAGGCAAAGGTCAAAATTTAACGTTCAACATTGGTTTCTGCTGAATATGCATCAGTGTCTTTCCAATGTAAAATGAAAATATTCAGTCAAACCATCAGTTTGTGAACTGTCTTAAGTATGGAACTTTAGAAGAAAATACATTAGACATAAATACTCCCAAAATGTAAGATTTTTGTAGAATTTAATGTTCTCTGGTAACCTAGTTAGCATTAACTGTTAATTTGATACTTCCTGGAGTCACCTGAGAAGGTAGTGTCAATTTAGGGATTGCCCAGATCAGATTGGCCTGGGGGAAGGGGGATTGTCTTGATTGTTGACTTATGTAGGAGAGTTCAGCCCACTGGAAAGCACCATTCCCTGAGCAGGTAGTTCTGCACTGTATTAAGAAAACTAGCTAAGCATGAACCTTGCTATCAGTCTAGCAATAGCCTTCCTTCATGGTTTCTGCCATACTCTCTGAGTGGTGAGTGATTTCCCTGCTTAAAGGTAATGCTGCATGTATACCTGGCAGGCCTGCCATCAAGTTCTGCCTTGAGTTCCTGTCCTGACCTTCCCTCCGTGAAGTATAAACTGGATGAGTTATTTTCTCCCCTATGTGCTTTCGGCTGAAGGATTTTCTCTCATCAATAGAAAGAAAACCAGAACACCCAGTTAGTCGCTATGCTTGTTTAAATTCCTCTGCATAACTCATGGGTGGTCTGCCACTGAACTCTATCTCCACCTCTTAGGCTATACTTCCAGAAGGGAAGGTCTTTGGTATTTAAGATTAGTTATGGGGGTGGCTGTGAGGGTGTAATGAAAATAGGAAGGGCCTGATAAGATAGAGTAATTGAAAATAGTATTTATTTAATTAATTTATTGAAGCTTATGACATTCTACAGATCTCCTTTTCAGGGAAATGGATTTCTTTTAAAGATTATAACAAATTGTAGGAAGCATACTGGACAAAATCAAATAAAAGATAGTATATTGTGTAATGATTTTCCTCTACTTGGTAAATTCTAATCATTCTGTAATAACCTTTACTAAACAACGTGATAGGGCAAGAAAAAATAAACCACACACTAAAATTTGAAGTTCACCAAGTTGGACCCCAAACCTGGAAATGGGTTTACAAGTGTTCTGTGATCAAAATGACTTGGGTATTAATGATTGTGTTCAAAGTAGATAAATGAACATTTATTATTCTCTTAAGTTTAGATTATCTGAACTAATTTAGAGACTTCTAAATGCTTGGCTTCTTTTTTCCTTAGATGCATGGATTATTGCTCTGATTGTTGTTACTTCAAGTAAGTAGCCCACATTTTTCACTGCTTAAATTCAATTGTTACTGTAAAGCAGTGTATTTTTAAGAGTTTTTAAACTTGAGATAAATAAACTTAGGAAACATGGTCTTTTATGTATTACCCTTTGCTAATTTATATTATTTCATATTCTATGTTTACTTAAAAGTAGCCTGTAAGCAATGATTGTGAATGTTCATCCTAAGTATGCTTTTGATAATATTTAAAATTCAGATAGGACTCTCCTCTGACTTTCTGTGAACTATGATTCCAGGGAGTTGGATTTAAAGAATAAAGTGTACAGATGAAATCTAAATGCATAACTGGTTATCACTGAAAAATAACTGATTTATTTCTTCTGCTTAGATTTTGAATCTTGGCAATCATTCTCAGTGTTACATGCTATTTATTTTCCTTTTCTTTAGTTGTTGGACTTGTTGTAATTTGTCTCATCATACTCAGATATCTTGAGTACAGGAAGAAAGGGTAAGTATTCTAACTGAATCGGCATCTTCCTCATGCCTTTGTGCCGCTGGTTTGTCTTCTGCCCTGAGCACCATCCTTATAAAGCATTCTTGCAGTAATGTGCCCTACAAATTTCATTTCTTTGCTAAAACATCATTGCAGCAAAGGATCTGTGTGAAGTTGTTTTTTTTTTAGCAGCTGTTATGACTACAAGAAAGTTTTCTATGGAACCTGAAGTTTAAGTTACTTAGTGAAGCAAGGTCATTATGAAGTTTTCCCTGCCCTAGGTAATCCTTATTCCTAAGTTCGAAAGTGGCCAAAATTAAATTAGAAATATTTCAGTGTGATATTCACTTTAAAGTCACTGAAATTTTTATGATAAAAGCTTACATTTGTCTTACTTGACTAGTGGTAAAAAGCAATATAAGGGTCTGATTTCTTTAGAGAATTATTTATTAATGTTAATCACTGTGATTGAGACCATCACCATTTGATTTCTCTCTTTTGTTCTCCTGAATTTTTTTCACGATAGATTAGTGAATGAGCTAGAAGTAGCTGAAGGGCTAAAATTCACAGGGTATTGTATTATCTTTTATCTGTGTTCTGCCTTTATAAAAATTTTTAAAAAGGTGGATTAAAACAGGAAAAAATACAAATACATAAATTTAAAAGGAATAAGGATTTAGAAGAGATGGGGTATTCAGGGTATGTACGTAGGTGAAAATAGGGATTCAAAGTATCAAAATTAAATGTAGAAAATTTACATATAATGTAAGATTTGGAATAAAACATATGACATAGATTAGATTGGTGCTTTGAAGTTTCTGATAGAATTTAGATAATTTCATCTTCTTTCTTCTCACTTTAAAAAAGCTCTGAGCATATCTGAGTGTGTGGATGTGGTCAGGAGCAGGATGATGTTGGTGGTTTCATTGTCACCCAAGGCCTGGGCTGCTGCACATAAAGATCTATGGATAAAAGGGTTTGCTGCGTGATTCACTGTCAAACTGCAGCGTCCATGATGAGATTTTTCTTTTTCTCTCTCCTAAATTTTATTTTATTTTATTTTATTTTTGGGGAAGGTTGCAAGGACAGTGTGTGGATGTGGTCAGGAGCAGGATGATGTTGGTGGTTTCATTGTCACCCAAGGCCTGGGCTGCTGCACATAAAGATCTATGGATAAAAGGGTTTGCTGCGTGATTCACTGTCAAACTGCAGCGTCCATGATGAGATTTTTCTTTTTCTCTCTCCTAAATTTTATTTTATTTTATTTTTGGGGAAGGTTGCAAGGACAGAGGGCGGATATGAAGGAAACAAATGGGATTGGTATGCATGATGTGAAAGCCACAAAAAAATAAAAAGTTTAGTAATAAAAATTAAAGAGCTCTAAAATCATCCCTAATAAATATAAGGCCTTTGTTTCATGTTTCCTCTTAAATTAATAATCTGGTTTGGGCTATTAAATAGAAGTATATTCTTGTAAAAGCTCAATCTTTTTGTTTATATTTTTAAAAGTCATTTTAAATAACTCAAATAAAAACATCATAGGACTAGACCAAGGAAGTAACACTTGGCCAGTCCCAAGCCCTATACATTTAAATGATCTTATATCCATTAGTATAGACATTTTGAAGTTACAGAGATTTGCTTGGGGTTTTGCATTTTCTTTGTCAATCACGTTTTTATTCATTTACCTACCAGGCAGGGGACTGTAACAGTTAAAACTAGGAAAGCAAATTCTAAACTTTTAAATATTACTCAATTGTCTGTTTTATATGCCTATAATTCCTTTATTTGAATCTCAAATCTCGTATTTATAGGATATCTAATAATAACATTTGACCTATCTATTGGTTACATGTCTTTAAACTAGATTGATAAACAATGTCCATGGGGAATGCTATCAGTGGTTTTATTAATATGCAAGATTTACTTTCCAAAGAAAGTAAACAACGTAATTTTTCATTGCCTTTTTGTTATTGTTTATAACATCACTCCATAAAAATTCATTATGGAGTCTTAGAAATGTTAATATATTAATATACAGACTGTATAGTTACATGTAAAGTATCTTTTAAAGCTAAGCAATTGCCTGGTCTTTGTCCTCACAAATAATAGTGACTTGAAAATCTAAAAATAATTTGTTTTGTTATTCTTCTTGTTCATATGTAATACTACAGTGGTCTAATAGAAAATTTAATTTAAAAAATATTTTGGGAAGATTATTTGTTTTTAAACAGTGCAATGCCCAGAGTAGGGCAATTTCCAAGAATTGTGTAGGAGGAATAACTCTTAATTACTTTTGAGCTAAAATATAAAATGTATTGATAGTCTTTCAGGATATACTTTGCCTTTTTTAATTACAAAAACCTAATATAAGCCGGGCGGTGGTGGCGCACGCCTTTAATCCCAGCACTTGGGAGGCAGAGGCAGGCGGATCTCTGTGAGTTCGAGACCAGCCTGGTCTACAAGAGCTAGTTCCAGGACAGGCTCCAAAACCACAGAGAAACCCTGTCTCGAAAAACCAAAAAGAAAAAAGAAAAAAAAACCTAATATAATATATGATGGTTAAATTAAAACTTAGGTTCTTCCCATGCTTATCACACACAAGGCATTGGATCAATTTCCAGCAAACAAAAAAGTAATTTAATTTTCAGAATGCTTGGCTTCAGAACACTGAAGCCTGTATATGGATGTGTGTGGAGTTTTCTGTTTTTCGTTTCAGGGAATTTACCTCACTATATATCTCTGGTTAGCCTCAAGCTCGTGATGATCCTACTGCCTTGCCTCCCTAGTGATACTATTTTTCCCTAAATTTACTCTCCCAAGAAGTCAGGTGCAGATGATACTTCTTTGTAAGCCCATGGATCACTTGATGCTCTGGGATAGGTCTGAGACCTACTGTCTAATCCAAGGGTGCTATATGGTCCACTGCAATTATCCATGGTCAGTGTTGACACTTTTAAAAACACTGTCAAGTTCATTGTCATTTTTTTCTTTTCTTTTCTGGTATTTAAGGTCATTAAGTGCACCCCTCCCCCATAGTGAGAAACACACTATGCAGAATAGGCTGGCCTCCAACTCACAGAGTTGCCTGCCTCTGTCTCCCAAATGCTGGGATTAAAGACAGGCACTACTATGCCCAGTTGTTATATTTTTTAAAGATTTATTTTTATTTTATGTGTAGAAGTGTTTTATCAACATATATGTAAATGTATGCTCTTTTATTTAAATTATTGTACTATCTTCTTAATCCATAACCTTTCTACCTCAAAGTGGCTTTCACTGTCTCTGAGTTAACAAGGATAAATGCACTTCTTTTACCCTTACTTGGCAATCAACACAGAAAACTTTTGTGAAAAAATGTTGATTTTCCACACACAGAAATCTTTCAGATCTGCAGCAGACACCA